AAATATCAAATATATAAATTTTTGAAGCGTATTAAAATCCACCTTTTCAATTATTATTCTCATATATTATATTTTAAGTATAATACGTTAAACAAGGTATCTTTTTCGATTGAATTTTAAAATTTATATCGAAAAGGAAAAACCACCTTTCGTAATTATGACGATAATCAAGAAAATTTCGTTATCATAGTTTTTCTTTTTTTTTTTTTTTCAAAATATTTTTACAGGTCATTGGAAAATTTAACCAATTTTGCTGGTGCCGAGGATTGGGACGATGTTGCAGCCGGTGTTATGGGTTTCAGTTCTAACGATCTTGGTCGTCGTATGGCAGAAGCTTGTCTTCGTGATTTGAAAAAAAATTTTCGCGGTAACGATTGGGGTAATAACGGGCCTGGCGTTATAACTAGGACATTGCAAAAAATTTGTTCTACCAAATACGTGAGTATTTTATTTATCAAGAAAACACAATCAACTAATTAATGATAATCCCATTTTGATAATAAGACCATACCATAAAAAAATATTAATCATTTTTGATTTACATTCGATCACACGTAAATTAGAGAATCTTTTTGGTTAGTGTAAAAATAAGAAAAATAATTTTTAAGTCGAATTGAATTCGAGTTAATGAATCAACAACCTAATATTTGAGGTTTGCAATAATTGTATTTTATTTTAAGAATATTAATTGCAAAATTGAAGAAAATCAAGTTGAAATTTTGGTTTACAGTTAGTGTAAAAATAAAGAAAATAATTTTGGAATCAAATTGAATTCGAATTAACGAACGAATAACTTAATATTTAAGGCTTGCAATAAATTTATTTGATTTCAACTAATATATATATTATAATATTATACTATATTATACTATAATATAATGATATACTAAAATTGCAAAATTGAAGAAAATCAAGTTGAAATTTTGATTGAAATTCAATCACACCAGTTTGGAAATTTCATAAATTAGTGTAAAAATAAGAAAAATAATTTTTGAAATCGATATGAATTCGAATTAACAATCTATTATTTGAAATTTAATAATAAAAATGAATTCGTAAATCCAGCATCTGTTGAATTCTCACATATATTTATTGGCTATATTCGTTCAAGTAAATCGATTCACTTTAACAACCGATAATTTACTATCGATCAAGATAAAAAATTTAATGGTGATGGTGGGTGGGGTGTTCTTTGTTTCCAACAGACTCAAGACATGTCAGTGTCACGTTGCCACGGTTTCAAAGTATTTCCACCCTCGACATTTTATCCGATTCATTACAAGAAATGGAAGAAATATTTTGAAAAGGATAAAAATAATTCGACGATGAAATTATTGGAACAAGCGAAGGCCATACACGTTTGGAATAAATTAAGCAAATCTACGAAAGTTCAACTAAACGATGACGTACCTTACTCAATTATTGCACGTAAATATTGTCCCAAAGTTTCATCGAATTGCGGTGATCATTTTTAAACCCGAAAACAAAACAAAAGAAAAGAAAAAAATAACAAACGAACAATCGGAGGAAGTGAATCATTAAAAATGATCTCGTAGGGATCTCATTATTATTTGATTGTACAAACGTTTTTACTTCGTTTCTTTTTTTTATTTTTATTTATTCATCATTTTTGTTGTTGCTGTTTTGTTTTTTATATATATATATGTAGGATTGATTGGGTTCAGTGTGAAGGTGTGTAATTTAACATACACCAAAATTAATTCTACTTATAAAAGATTTGAATATCAAATAGATGATAGAAATAGCGTTAGAAAAATGTTTCACAATTTTTAGATTACGTAATGTGATCCGATTTTATTCAACTGGGGTTTAAGATATACACCACCACCCCACGGACACACACACGTCAAAGCCCTTTAAAAACCACCCCTGTAAATTTTTTGTGTCGTTAATTTATACATCGGCTCCTCCCTCCCGCGTTCTTACGTTTTTTCACGAAACTTCTTGACCATTACCGATCGTAAGACCATCCGAATCTTTTCTGTTTACTTCTTGTTCGGGAATGTTCATGAAACTTCGGCACGATCATACACAATTAAGCCAGTGCCACCTTATACATTTTATAAACAAAATATCATACTCGGAAGAAAGTGATCTTCTTCATATTACACACGTATATTTTCATACATATAATATTTATATACAGAGACGTAAACGTATTTTTTTTTTCTCATCGATCCCATCTGCCATTTATTTTATTTTATTTTCATTTGTTTTTTATCGTTCATTCACACGTCACTTTGTTCTTGAACCACCAATTATATTTATATATTATAATAGTATTATATTATTAGGTTATAGGGCAAAAGAAATTTCAATTATTTTAACGTGAACTTCGTGAAAGATTTTATTTTTAACACATTGAGCACAACGCACATTTTTAACACGTCAGTCATCGGTTACTGACACTGAACTTTCTGTTTAGGCCACGTCAGTCACCGGTGACTGACACTCAACTGTTTTTTCAATAGTAAGTAACACGCGTGGCCTGAACTGAACTGAAATCTGTCAGTCACCACTGACCGACACTGAACTTTCAGTTTAGGCCGCGTCAATCACCGGTGACTGACACTCAACTGTTTTTTTAATAGTAAGTAACACGCGTGGCCTAATTGGGATTTCCTTAACACGTTGATTGCAATGCAAATTCTTAAGGGAATCCCAATTGGGACACGCGTGTTACTTATTACTGAAAATACAATTGAATGTCAGCCACCGGTGACCGACGCGGCCTGAATTAAACTGAAATCTGTCAGTCACCACTGACCGACACTGAACTTTCAGTTTAGGCCGCGTCAGTCATCGGTGACTGACACTCAACTGTTTTTTCAATAGTAAGTAACACGCGTGGCCTGAACTGATCTGAATTGAAATCTGTCAGTTACCACTGACCGACACTGAACTTTCTGTTTAGGCCACGTCAGTCACCGGTGACTGACACTCAACTGTTTTTCCAATTGTAAGTAACACGCGTGGCCTGACTAGGATTTCCTTAAGTGATGTTCAACGTGTTAACATGTTTTGAATTGGTAATTTGTTCTATAATTTGTTGCTTCATAAAATGTCCCCCTTTTGATAAAAGTCTTGGTCCCTATTGGTCCCCCCTTGGTCCCTAAAATTCTGATAATCGATTTTTGCAATGTTCTCTTCATGTCAATTTTTCATCACTAAGAAAGTTTTTCAATGCAAAAAAAACAAAGTATTCGCTTGATACCAGGTCCGGACTTTATGGTGGATGCATCAAAACTTTCCAAAAAAATCCCGAGAATTTATGGCGAGTTACTATAGACGTGTGTAGCTTGACATTGTTTTAATGGAACACAACACCTCTCCTATTGGCCAATTTTGAACGTTTCTGATCAATCGGTAACTTCAAACGGTCCAATTGTTGACAGTAGAGATTTTTTTAACTTTTTTTTATTGCACGTAATTAGTTGTTACAGTATCATTGAGACCACAAACACTGCTTGCATTTTCGCTTTTATCAATGCAAAACTGTAAAATGTATCAAATTTTTTCTTCGTTTATTTCCATTTTTAACAACCCTGAACAGAATTCACAATCGAATTTACCAAACAAAAATCGGCAATAGAATTTTTTGTTTAGTGTGAAATGTCATCTTTCCAACTAGCATAAATCTAAAATTGAACCCATTTATCGAAAAAATTAATGAATTTCTTTTTGCCCAAAACCTAATACTATAATTATATTTTATTTAGAATAGATAAGGAGATTACATTAACGTATGTGGAAAGCAAGAAAAAAAAAACAAAACAAAAAAAAAGACAACGTTAGTATTAATTTTCTTTTTTCGATTACTATTTGATTTATATTTCATTTCTTTTTCAACGAAATATCATTGATGGATAGTTTTTCTCTTTCGAAATTGATACTAAATTGAAATGATATTTTTCTTACCGAAAAAAAACTTTTCTATTTAATTTTTTTGTTTTTTTGTTTTTTTTTTTTTTCATTTTTTAATTTTATTTTTCTTATATCAAACAAACAAACAAAAGTTATAATTACGGTCTCAGCATTAATTTGTTATTATCGTTGTTATTTATTTTTTCGCAAGAGAGTAACATTAATTATGATTTCACGTCGAACAACAGGGGTAAAAAAAAAAAAAAAAGTATTTTACCTATCGGAAGAAGTTATTTACTTTTGTCAACTTTGACAAAAGAAAGAAAAGAAAAAAAGGATAATAAACTATTTTATTTATCTTTTCATTCGTAGAGATAACGAAGTACATATCAAAGCAATAGATTAATGTAATGCCAAAGAGATAGATGTTGTTGTTACCCAAATGAATAATATTCCAATAATAATTTATTGTTTATACTATAGCATATAGTTACATGTATATACGTTAATCATTTTATTAATTATATATAACTCGAGGCTGTAAAATTATAAATCATAAATATCATTAGATAGTAATGCTAAAAAGAATTAATATACAAAAAAATAAATAAATAAATAAATAAATAAAATAAGAAAGAGAGAAAGAAACAGAGAGAGAGAGAGAGAGAAAGAGGGTGTCGTATAAATAATAATCACGATTGTGTGTTCACGAAATGTCATATCATTTACATAAAAAGAAAAAAACAATTCATAAAATAAAGAAAATATTTGTTATTATCATTTGAAAAATTTTAAAAGAAATTTTTCACACGTCAGAACATTTTTTGCGAGAAAGAGGAAGAGAGAGAGAGAGAGAGAGAGGGAGAAAAAAAAAGTAATATAAAAATATAAAATATAAAGAAAGTTAGAAACAAGTAAAGGGATGAAAATAGAACGATAGAAACGAGATGATATAAATAAACAATGTTTATTAAACAATAACATAATGAAGAATAAATATTGTAAGAATCTCGGACAGATATATGTGATAAAATTGATGTGAAATGCATGGGAAACATTTCTCTTGATTTGAACGATCAAATTATTCTAACGAAGTGTCAATAAATTTCTTCGTTAACGAGTATTTAATGAATCGTTATAATAAAAAAATCATTTATCTTTCTTGATTTTGTTATTCGTTATTTGTTATACGAGACACAATGAACGAATAATAATTTATTAATAATTATTCATTTTTTTATTTTGTGTGATCGTTTTTGGAAGGACAAAAATTGTTGTGAAGATAGGATTGAAAATATGTTGAGAAAAATTATTTCTCGTCTCGAATTATATATTTGCACGACGCGTGTGTATGTATGCATGTATGATATGTATGTGTGTGTATGTATGTAAAATTATACGAATAGATATTTTCTAATACACGCAAAAGTATAATCCAATTATACGTGTCTCTTTGCTGAGAAAATAATTTCATTGTGATATACATATATATGTATATATATAAACGTAAACATTTGTGTCCTGACTTTTAAACAAAACAAGTTGTGTAACATTTTTACAAAGAATTGACGAAAAAAAAAAAAACAAAGAAAAAGAAAAAAAAAGGGAGGAGAAAATTTAATCCTATTATAATGCCTGATTTTAATTCAAACGTTTTTGATTAAACAAAACGAATCGCGATATATTAATTGGAATCAATAATAATAATATGAATCTCAATAATTATAACAGGGGACTGTGTTAGTGTATCTACAAAAAAAAAAAAAAAAAAAAAAAATTCGATTAAATTAATTTTATCTATTTATTTTTTATATTAAAATTACGCGTATCATTAAATAAATTGTAAAATAAATTTTTCACAATTTTTTTTGTTTTTTTACGCAGTCCACACCGTAACAATGTAACAATGAACGATTTATACAAGGATATTACGTTTAATCAAATATTTCGCGAGCTAAACAAATTGATAGTTTATAGGAAGAATTTTTTATTTGTTACAAATTAAAGATTATAAAAAAATAATATATATGTTGTGTGCCATATTTTGGGGAAGAAAATTAGATGTAAAAAATAAAAAAAGAAAAGTAATAAAATTATTTGTTTATTACGTAATTTTATTAAAAAAAAATTACACGGGCGTATAGAGGATTAACGAAAAATTTGACGAATATGTAAGAAAAAAAGGAAAAAAGAAAAAAAAATGTTAACAAAAAAACTGACAATCCTCATCTATGTTTAAATATCATAGATCAAATATCATACGACAAAAGTCAATCTTTTAATTAGTAATAATATTAAAATATAAGAAACTTACGATTCGAAGAAATGATTGAATATTTGAATTATAATATAATATAGAATGATTTTTATTTTTTCTTGTTAACATTGATTTATCTCTCATTCATATGATTAATAATAATTATTATAATTTCGTACAATATTGAATACATTTGTCGTTGCATTTATTTGTTAATTATTCATAAAATCATTTTATAAATATAACGTTTAATTATTCAAGAATATTTGAACACGTTAACTGCTATGTCGGTCAACAACAACAATAATAATAACCATAACCGACGTTACTATTGTATTGTTTTACATGTGTGTGTGTAAAAACTTGCGTTGCAGTCAAACGTTTTTCAATAATTTTTCTCTTTTATTTTGTATGCACAAGAAAGACAAAAATAAATATATATATATATAACAAAGAATAAAATATACTAACGTAAGTTGAAACAAGCGATCGAATAAGAAAAATAAGAAAAATAATAATAAAAAAAAATATATATATATATAAGTAAACGTGTCGTATTAATTAAACGTGCCATTCGTGTCGTAGATTATTGGAAAAAATTAGCCGCTTGCGTTAATCATTTTTTTGTCAAATATCATTGAGCGGTAATTATATCAGTATTATTAGACCAATAATCGGACCATGTTCCTAGACACAAAGCGTATTTAAGAAACTGTACGTGAGATTATCTTGTATACTGTTTTCGAAAATTCTATGTTTTTGGTAAATAAATTAAGAGTTTCTCTCTGCCATAAATATTCTCGTTATTCGTACAACTTTACAATATGTTGAACTTTGAACTATTCAGCTTTTTTCTATACGTAATAATCACAATAATAATACATTTCTATTATTATATACGGTGATTCACGAAAGTATTTGAACACTTACCTCATGAAATATTTTTAATCAATATTTTATTAATTTTATTAACAAGCGTTGTATATAAGCTATTATAATTAATAAAATATTTCATGGGGTAAGAGTGTTCAAATATTTTCGTGAGAATCACTGTAAATATTACTTCCATTTATTTCGTGTGAATATGAAAAAAAAAAAGGAAATCAATTTATTCATCGTAAACTTTGAAATTTGTTTTGTATACCAAAAAAAAGTTAATGCGAAGTCTGTTATTAAACAGTTACCGTATATTAAAGCAGTACTTTACTATGTAAATGTTTTAAAATTATCAGTCATATATAAAGGAAGTTCGTATGTTTTACGTAAAGATTTTTAAAAATATATTGTATATACTTAAACTTTAACATTTAACCTAAATATGAATGACTATAAAGACGATTATTTAATTTAAACAGTGAATAAGTAAGCTACTTGGAAAAGATATTCGCCAAAGCCACTATAGTGGCAAGCCGGCTAAGCACCATATCGGTAATAGTAGTGATCTATCTTTATTTTATCCACCGTCGGTAACGGTAGCTTTCTACTTTGTAAAAGATTGATCGTCGGTAATAGTAGGGTTCTATTTTTTAAATATCGACAGTCGGTAATAACAGTATCTAATCTAATTATATTTTCCGTCGGTAACCTTAATATAAAATATTACCGACGTAGAGTAAAATAAATTAGAATTCTACTATTACCGACGGGGTCAAAAGATTACGACGATGTTGAGAATAAAAAATATTCGGAGTAGACGATAATTCTATGGATTTGTTACATTAATGTACGTATAATAAATTTAATACAATTCTAATTAACATTGTGCTAATGGATATAAATGAAAAACAATCATAACTTCACGAATTTCAACGCATCGGTTAATTAAGAATAAAAACATCGGAACATTTCTTTGCTAATGTAAATACATGCATGCATATGCACACACACAAAGTTGAAGAACGACCAGGCATGACAGGTGTGACATTTTTCTCTTAACCTAACTTTTCATTTACATTATTACATATAATTATTTATTAGCTTTATTTATTCCATTTAAGAAAATTCATCCTATTCTTTATTTCATATTAGATTTTAATAATCATATATATAATTAAACAATCTATTATATATTAATTATATTTTTTAATTTTTTCAGGTTATGTTTATTATCTCATTAGACTTCTCTTTACAATTGCATGCACTCGATGTAAATAGATATGATGCAATGCATGAAGAACATAGCCCTAAGGTAAAATATAATTTATTTAACTATCAGAAAAATGATTTCAAAAGCATTTTTATGCTTGACATATTCTAGATTCTTAGGAATAGTATGATGTATTAATGATGTTTCAATATGTATATGCATTGTAATTAGTTTATCCAAAATTTGAGATAAATTTAACAATTATTTTTGATTATTTTAATCTAATAATCAATATATAT